TGAAACACTGTTAAAATATTCCATGGACCAGACAGAAATCTGCACAAAAGCTGACTGACAATAATGTATATACCCACTTTACTGCCTCAAGATAACTATGGTATCCCTTATGAGGATTTCCAGCAGCAGATGAACACAACATACAGGCACATGCATGATTTATAATGAATGTCTTATAACGACATGCATGGTTTATAACCTCAGACCACTTTTTGTGCATAGGCTCAATGAAAGTTAGCTCTAGCTATTGCTCTGCTTTAAGGGTAGTTTGAGTGGGTTATGTGTTTACACTTGTGCAGAAAATGCCTTTCAGTCACACCTAACAAATGCCATATTTATGGATGCTGTGTCTGATACCCTTGTTATGAACATATGCATGTTTTGGCTTGACTTTGGTGTAACCATGCTAATAAGCTCTCTCTGTTGTGTCATTTATTTGCTATCATCTTGTTTATGCCAGTTTTGATTTCAGGTTATGGTGGCAGCAGTTTGTACAACATCTAGTGCATGCGTATATAAAGGAAGTGGAGGAAGCTAAATATTCAGAAGTAAAACACAGTTGCACAGAAGATAATTTTGTAGATTGCCATCATCACCAAAAGCTGTCTAAAAATAAAAAGTGTTAAACTAGTAATGCTGCATGTATGCACTCTTTGTAACAAGAAAAGGTAAAACCAGTATGTGGCAATATGTGGTTGTATGGACAATGTAATTGGTCCAAGGTTGATTTAATTTTAATCTCAAAGCCAAAAGCATGAAATATCTCTTGTAAAAATTAAATTAACACATATGTAAAATGTTTTATCCTGATCTGATGCAGATAGAATGCATCCATTGATTTTGCTGGAAAAAAATTCAACTCCTATCACTTGGGGAATCTGCCCTCTCATCGGCACTGAAGATCTGAGAGGCACTGGTGTTTATTACAATTAACAGGAATAGCTGGTGTTCTTAGAAACAAATCCTGTGGAGTTGCATTATTTTAATATGCTACTTTTTTTTTCTTTTTAATGTGTTAGCCATTTTTATTATAAGGTCCATCAGAAAGATTACATCCCGCAATACAGAAAAAATTCATCTTTTTGTGACAACCACTTTAGTGACAATGACTTTTCCTCTGAGAAAGTTATTCCCCAATGTATTGAACAAGATATAACCACTTTCAGCTAACTGACAATGATATTGTGAAGTAACACCAGAAAAAATGATTTTTATCATTGCCATTTATAGTATTTGATGTGTGCTCTGGTTTTACCAAAGCTGAAAAAACTGCTTAGAATTTTTTACAGAAGAGAATGTTATCACCAGTAATGAGGTATTATTTTAAAGTTTCTTGAACATACATTTGCCTATATTTTAATGTTAATCAATATCTAGCTTTTGAGAAGAGAAACACTGAACAGAGATAAAAATCTATGACCACTATTTGTTGTAGCAATGTTTGGGCACAGTTGTAGTGAGCAGAGCATGGCCCTTCCAGGGGATGTATGTGTCTGTAATGTGGATTTTTAGGGAGCCACTTCAAGAACAGATACTCAGGCATCCGTCTTTTCTGATGTTCTCAGAAGAAACACTACTGAAGGTGACCAAATAGCAGATCCATCTCTGGGACACAGCAGTGTCAGCTCAGCTTAGCTCTTGCCACAGGCACAGGCTGATATGATTGTAAAAAAAAAAATGGTTTCCTCTGTTTAAAGCAGATTTTATTCTCCTCTGATCAGCAGCAAGGAGAGTAGTTAGTGTTCACCAGACCTTTGAGTTTTAGAGGTAAAGACCTTTCTTTGGCCTTATGCAGCTTATCTTGGATTCCATATATTAGTACTTAAAAGTCTATTAATCCTAACTTCATGTGCTTTATTAAAAACTTTGAAATAAAAAGGCAGGGTAACAGCTGAGCAAAACAGAGGGTATCCACTTCTTACCTGATATTCCCCCTGACATTTCAGTATCCAGCTTCTCTCAAACAGTGTAGCTGTGGCAGCAGAGATAGGGAGATACTGAGTGACTGAATCACCTCTGACATTTATTTTGAGTCTTGAAAACAGTATTATGCATTTACACTGCAGTCATTTTTCAAATTGAATTTATCCTTGTGGACTTTTCCAGCTTTCTTCTTATCAGGTGATAAGACTGTTTCAAGTTTTGCTCACATTTACTTTCCAGTCATGCTTCATAGCTGCTTGAAAGTCTTCCATATCAGTTTTGCTATGGCACATGGACTAGTCCACCTAACCATGGCTGTGAGTTGCAGGAAAGGCCAGCAAGCAGTTCAAGTCACTGACGCTCTGGTTTAGCAGTTCTTCACAAAAAAAACAGCAGTCCTTCACAAAAAAACACCAACCATTATTAGTGCATTAAATTTAGCGTAGTGCTGAAATAAATGCGTATAAGCTGTGAAAGGAAATTTCAGCCCACTAATAAAAAACAGACAATTTGGTTTGCTTTAAACTCCTTCAGATTGTCAATTGGTTTTCCCACTGAGCAGTTTTATTCTGTTAATCCAACCACTGCTATGAGCAACTGATTCATTCAGTTAGTGTTTTCCTGTAACTGCTCAGAATTGATTCTGTACATCAATTTCAAACAAATTCCAAATATGTGAGAAGATGCCCCAATGGTATGAAACTTTGCACAAAAACATAGGAGTTACACAGAATCCATTCTGTATTATGCTTACTATATTACCTAATGTAATAAAATAATCCTATATTACAAGTGCAGAAGTAGGAAGAAATCCAATTTTATATGCAAATAAGTTATGAAAGTCTTATTAATGAGACCTGCTGTAGTTTACTAGTATCTTACCTTATTGCTTTTTAACTTTCCCCGAATGTCTCAAGTCTTAGAACAAATAGTGTGGTACTGAATTAGTGAAAGAGCACTTTCTCAAAAATTCCATTTTTTTTCTTCCTATACTATTTGCTGTTGCAGCTTTCTAATTATTTCATGTAAATACGGAACAAACCTTGTAACATCTCCTATAGCAGTAGTATGCTATGACAGGAGGCAAAAAGAAGAGCCACCCGCAATAGCATATGCAAGTTTTATAGTACATGAAGCAAATATTTGGACTAATGTTTTACAAATATTTTTGGTGTCTTAATGTTAACATTCAAAACCACTCAATTAAAAGCTGAATATATTTCAAGTCACTGCAAATCTCTGGAAAATACCTTTCACTTGAAGAACTTTTAATTGCTTGCTTGAACCAGAAATATATTATTTATGGATTAAAAATTAAGTAAGTCTGTGTTTGTGTGAAGCATGGTAGAGATTTCTACTGCTTTAATATATTAACTGAATGTCTTGTATCACATCAAAAAACCAAGTCCATCCAGCTCCTATATCTGAAGAGCAGAAAGTTCCCCATGACTCCCCTGCTTATAGTGTGGTCACCAGGTAAACTATTGTTCTTCCTCTGAAGTGTCTGTGTAATCAACTTTGGGTGGCCAGGAAGATAAATCAATCCATTTAAAAGCTTTTTCGTTCTAAAATGGTTAATTATAGCTACCTTTGTACAGCACCTTCTATCCTAATTAATTTTGCAAATGTACTTCTGGAAAAGTCTCAAACCTGCAAGTCAGAGAACCTTTCACTGAGAACTGCAGACATTTTACCTCACAACACTAACTGTTGAGGTTTATATATAATTTGTGCTTTGCTTCTACTTCATATTCAAAAGATGATGACTTAATACATCTGCTCAGTCCTACTGCATAAGGGAATAAACAACAGCAAAAATATGCAGTCAGCATTTTTCTTTTTAGCAGGCCTTGTAGGCTGTATCAGAGTGTTAATAGACAGCTTCAGTAGGTAGAGTAAATGGGCTGTCCCATCTACTGTGTAGAGTTAAGGGGACACAGGTCCTCTAATGCCCTCTGAGATTACTTTTAATGAGCCTTTGGCGACTTCTTTGCATGTGAAATCAAGAACTGTTACTGCTTCTCCTGCACAGCTGCATTGTAATTGTGAATGTTGTATTATGCATATGTTTTTGTGATGGGATTCCTAAGACAGTTTTCTATTCTGAACATCTTTGAGTATACATATCTAAATCTCACTTTGTGTACCCACACAGTATGTGTGTTTCGTCTATTCAAAAGAGAATTGGTGGATCAATGGTATTCTGTCTACAGGATGAACCAAAACAAGTTCGTCTGTGGGAGAAAACTGTTTTTCTTTTCCATGTTAATCTTGGGAGCCCTCCTTGTTTGCTGTGAATTCTCACCAGGAACCATATGGCACTGAGCAGCACAGTGACCTGTAAGGCTGGCTGGTACTTGCCTGGTGGTTGGCTGGCAGACTGCTGGTACATACAGTGCACAATGGCTGTGTTCTGCCTGGTTTTCCTTCAGGATGAGCAACTAGACTGGGTCAGTGTCATCTGCGCAGCTACTCATTTTCTGATGCAGTTTGCAGAAAATAAATTATCGTTGAGACTGCCTTAAATGTCTCATGTTAATGTTGATTGGAATCCTCTATGAACACCGGGTTTCATCTCTAAAGGAGTCTAAAGGTTTTTCCACCTCATATACAATTACCAGAAGAGTTCAGCATTAACCTGTGGGAGCAAGATGAGACAGGAGACAATTAAGCCCATAATCTAGGGGGAAACCAGCAGCTATGGTGTAAAAGGACAGGTACTTTTCCCTATTTTTGCCTTTACCACTATGTGGAAAAGAAAAGAAAGATTCCTCTCCTGCCCAGTGAAACAGACAGACATTGTAGTGTAGGAATTAAGGCATTCATCTAAGACAAATTACTTAAAATATGATTCTTGTCAACAGATTATTTAATATAAAAATCAGAAATGTTTTGCTATAAAGGTCATATCCAAAGAATTCTCTATTTTAGTGAGAATCTTATCCTAAACACCAAGCCAAAAAGACTCCACAAGTCCTGTTCTCTTTTTATTTCCATGAATACAGAAAGCTTGTACTGCCAGTCAACGCAGCTTTCAAAGCTGGGATGAAGAGTGTCCTGGGGTGTGACCAGGAGACCAGAACATTTTGGGCAAGTGGCTGTCATGGTTTAAGTGGCTGAACCTAGGACAGTGGCTCTTTGTATTTCGGATTTCTCAAGCTTCAGAGAAAATGAACCTGGAGAACAGGTTTTAATTTTGTATCCATAGAGGTAAAAAGTTTTCTGTGGTTCTTAGGGATACCTGAGGCCCCAGTAAAGGGTGAATGGATATCACACAGTATGTAGCAGAGACATGTAACACCCTGCATTAGCACCTGGACGCCAGGCAGGACACTGTGCTATACAATGATGTTAAGCAATCGAATCCCACCCTACCTGTGGGCCAAATACCATAATTTTATTTTAAAAATCTTCACCTACCTCATTACTTCCTCCATGGGTGCTCCCTGTCACACACATTCTGTGCATATCCACCAAGATATAGCCATGCCTCTGCCATATTCCTGGACTGTATTTGGGTGACAGATATAACATTCAACAAGTCCACCTATCTGCAATTATTTTCTTTTCCCCTGGTTTCTGAAAAAAAGCTTTTTGCCACCATATTATCACAAATGGCTTCTCAGTAAAATGCTCAGAGGCACTCACAATGTAAACAGTCCAATGCGAAGTTTTAATAAATAACTTTTTAACCTTATGTGTTTCATAGGTACTATTGAACTTCCGATCACAAAGAAACCCAACAAAACACTATAGTGGAAATTATATTGCATTGGACAGAAATACAAAAAGTCTGAGTACTCTGGTTCTGATGGCTATTCTAGAATACAGAAGGAAACTTCAAGACTCCTGGTAAGTTGCAATCAGAAGGTTGCACCTTCTTTTTAAAATGCTTTGCCACCTTGCGCTTTCCTAAATCCTTTTGATTAGATTGTAGCACAAATGCAACTATTTTGGTTTTTTTGTAATTGAACTATATGAACATAACCAGTTTCCTAATTTATGTTGTTAAACATTTTTGAGGAAATTGCCTATTGTGTTTTGTTGTGGTTTGCATGAATATAAAGTAGCTCAGCTTCCCCTAAGATTTAAATCGAAGATGAATAACTTTGTGCTCAGCTAGAGCATACCATTTGCTAATTCTTCTGAGATCAATAATTATTAAATGAATAATTTAGTGAACTACTGTGCACTCTTTTTGGCTTCCTTATTTTCTTCCACAAGCTAAGCTTGTTATTTGCAATAATATTATATAATATTATTCATCTCATTTTACAATATTATAATCTCATTTAGAGAGCTAGGGAAAAGAAAGAGTTCCCCCCTTTATGTTCCGTTATTTTTTTCTTAGTAAGCAGAAAATGAGTGTGCTTTTCTCTTCTGAATACTTGACTGTAAATTCTTCAGGAAGTTAAAGGTTCAATGTCAGGGGTTTTTTTAAACCTTCTTTGGACTTTATTTTTAGCTTTTGCTTGGCGATTGCTTCTATACTGCTCATTAAAATGTTGTGCAAATAAGTAATTATGAACAACATACCTAGGGTCATCAAACTTATAATTTTTATATATGCATAGTGAGTCTAACACCACCAGACAGATACCACTTGTCAGACAAATTGATCTTGTGCATCAAGTCCGAAATGCCTAAAAGAAATTATTTGGACTTGAGTGTGAACAAACCATTTGTAAAAAGTTAAGCAAGTGACATAAATTAAGACACTTGGGTCATTCTAGGTATTCAGGTGTGATGTCTCTGTTCAGAGTCATTTTAATCAGGAAAGGCTGAAAAAAAAATCAATCCCTTCTTATGTTTCTATCCAGTTGCAGCCTAAAATCTTATGAGTGGTCCAGCAAGTATCCTCAGGCCACATGGGAAACCCAGCAACTATAGTTCACCTCACCCCCATTACCCAGCTCTTTTATTTTCCATTTTTTATTGAAAATTCCATCAGAGACAAGTACAGAGATTTTAACTTATACAATTTTCACCCCATTGGGTCAGGTCATGGAATCAAATAATAAAGATCTGTCCGGTGAAATCTTCTTCCGGGGTAGGGTTCCCTGAGAGGTTAAGAGAACCAGGTAGGGTTCTCTTACAATCTTCACAATTTATTCCATATTAAAATCTGTTTTTTTTTTCTTTTCACAGACAATTAGACAGTAGAAGGAATGGGAATCTGGTGTCCAATGTTAATGTTATACTTTGTCAGTATTAAGTAGAAGGTTATCGAGTTGAACAAGAGTGTTGCATGACATGTCATTACCCTGTGTAAGTGCATTAAAGCAAACAAAATAGCTAGGAAGAGAAACTCATCTTGGTAATACTGCTGGTAGTCATAAGTAAGTATTGATTGCATATTAACACAGTAAGATATATAGTTATATGCAGTTTATTAATTTTTATATTGATGTTCATTAACATTTTTAATCTTGGGTCGAATTGTCCCGTTATACTTTGTTTGGTATCGGCTTATAGGGACTTTTCCCTAATGGCTAACTTGGTATAATACTGCTATCCATTTTATTTTCTTTTGGATTACAGAAAATACAGATCCAAGGTGTTCCTATAGCTGATTCTACTGGTACAGGCTGAGCAGAACTTTGACATACAAGGGAGATTTTTCATTGGGCTGTTTATGAACATGTGTTACTGTGTTACTGAATAATTATGAGTAAGCAACTTAATTTTAAACTTTGCATTACCCTTTTTGTGTCAGTAAAAAGCTCTCACTTTTGTGTTTTCCTATCCATATTAGGTGTAAATCTGAAAATATATTTCATTTCAAAACTGAAGTATGTTATGAAGTGACAATGAAAAGAGACCATGCTATGTTTATGTTAGTGATTTTTTCTGAAGTCATTCAGTATGCAGCATTTCTTCAGTGTTCTACAGACACCATTTCATATGATCCAGTGCTAGGCAGTGTATTTTGGAGGCAGTTTCATGTCCCTCATTTGGTTCAGGTTTTTTGGTGTCAGATTGTTTTCTGCGTGAAGAATTCCTTTCGTAAACCTAGTGTTTCCCTTTCCCCGGCAGCAGCACTCTCAACAACCCTATCTGTCAGCCTGACTGAAGTATTTACAAATTGTTTTAGATTTGCACATTAACATGATGTAGAGTAACCTTTTACATCCAGTATCAAGAGATATATTCTTAACACAAACAACATCTAATAAATACATCCAGGCACTTTTTGTGCAGCCCCTGGCAATAAAGGTGATGCCAGACAGAACAGCTCCATTGGGTGCTTGTTTAAAACCCTGTATTTTTATTGCCTGCAAATGTCAGGTATCTAACCAATGCTTACAGATAGATTGATATAGGCAGACTTCATAAGAGTCTTGTTTATTTAGAGAAAAATATCGAAGAACTCCCTGGGGAACACTCTTACAAATCATACTAAAATGATAGACTTGAACAGCTATTGTGGAAAGATTCCTACATTTGTGTTAAACAAGCTAACTAGATTGAATACCAGAAACAGTCTTTCTGTGCAACATCAAGCTAGGAATAAGGCTAATTTACTTTGTCTGTTGCCAAAGTATAGTGAGTATACCAAATTATCTGGTGTGATGGATTACTGTTTAGGTCACTCATGTAAAGCTAAGTAGGTCATCCCTGTAAGAAACTGGAACTATAGTATAAACGTAAGGCAAAATTGGAATATCTTCCTATAAAACTGCTGCTTTGTGCTTTTTTTTTTTTCTCTCCAATTCTAGTAATTGATATAGAAAGAAAGAGTTTTTTTCACATCTGACCTCCTCATAGCCTAAAACAGACACAGAGAATGGTTAAATGACTATAATAAATTTTCTCATGATTACCATAACCATGGTAAGATCAAATTTGTCTCCATATGACAAAAATATTGTCTGAGGGTTTTTTTAAAGTGTTTAATACCAAGTAGAGTGCATCAATGTCATTTCATATGTTTAGCAGTTTAGTAAGACTCCCTGTAAATTGTTGTTATAGTTTATGCCATAATTCATGGCATTGTCGTGTGCCCTCCGTGACAGTTCAACAACACTTGGAAATAGTCAAAAATAGTTTGTTTTCTATATTTTCTTGAGATGTGTCCTGAATACAGTAGCAGGGCCTTCACTGCTATTTTTGTGTTTAAGTGTTACGTATAAAGATTACCAAAGAAAAGCTACATTAATTTTCAGCTCAACTCTAAAAAGTGAGTCCAGGTTTGCTGTAATCTGTTATCTAAAACAATGAATGTCAGTAAAATCAGTGTGACAGATAAGGGCTAGATTTCACATAATCTGATTTTAACTGTCTGAAAATTAAATATTTAGTTTAAATTGCTTTCTGGTTAATGGGGACATTTAGGCAGCCCAGGAAGGGAAGCATAGGTAAGAGTGGACTAAAATATGGCATTTAAGGTGGATAGGATAAATCATCCTGTGGAAATGCCTGTAGAAGTACTCACAGTCTGTGGAATCTGGATACAAGCATGATTAAGTCACCTAAATTTTGATGCCTGGTGCTGTTTAAGGCATCCTTACAGGGATGATAATTCATCACTGTATTTGCAACTAATCTAAAAGTAGATCTGACAGGAGACCTGAGAGTATCTCAGATATTAGTGGGTGCGAATGATTAACAAACTGAGAATCAGGACACTAACTTTTAAAAATCCCAAATTAGAAGAAAATAGGCTTCAGAGACTAGAATACTTCAAAACAGTTCAAAATGTCAGCCCCTCAAAAATCCTTATTTGAAACAGCACTGTTTAACATCTTTGTTGGTGACAGGCTGACAGACTTGAGAGGTGGTCCTGTGTGAACCTTGTGAAGTCCAGCAAGGCCTGCTCCAGGATAGGGCAATCCCAAGCGCAATTACAGGCTGGGCAGCGGATGGATTCAAAGCAGCCCTCATGAGGATGTTGGTTGACGAGAAGACCAACATGAGCCGGCAGCGTGCACTCACAGCCCAGAAAGCCAATCGTATCCTGGGCTGCATCAAAATGACCTTGGCCTCCCAGATCAAGGAAGGTGATTCTTCCCCTCTACTTGGCTCTTATGAGACTCCCACCTGCAGTACTGCATTCAGACCCAAACATAGGAAAGACATGGACCTCTTGGTGCGAGCCCAGAGGAAGTCACATAGATACTCAGAGGGCTGGAGTACCTTTCCTGTGAAGACAGGCTGAGAGAGTTGGCTTTCTCAGCCTAGAGAAGAGTCTGGGGAGACTTCATAGCAGCCTTGAAGGAGCCAACAAGAAAGCTTGAGATGGAATTTTTGCAAGGGCATGGGTGAGTGGTCTTATGGCAAGACCATACAGGACAAGGGTGAATGGTTTTACATTGAAAGAGGGTAGATTTAGGACCCTACATCCCTCATTTTACTGTTTTCTGGAGATTTAGGCTATTAAGGATAATTAAGAGCATTAGAGTTAATTCATTTGTTGAATTCATAGGATTTGGAGACCCTAAACTCTCCAAAATACAGGTCCTAAATTACCAGGGGAGGTTGGAAGAGCTGCACTGATGAATCAATTAAAAAATATTGCCTATGACTGTCAAATATGCTTTGTATTTCCACCACTTTAAAAAAGTATATTTGATGGCCTTTCTAACCATGAATAAACTCAGCCAAAACTCAGTTAAAAATTTAGAATAGGCCAGCTAATGGGAGAATTCAGACATCTCTTAGTCTCACCAGGGAATTGACTTTTGCTTGCTAATTGCTTTGGTCTCCTTGATATGGTTCCTGCTGTGCTGCTTATAAGCTTGACTGATATCCTAGAAATGCCTTCTAAATGACTTCCTTATCAGTGACAAATTCTTTTAGCTCCCTGGAGGAGCAAGGAAGAGAGTTGTTCTATCATCTTTTACTAGGATATGAAATTACTGCTGCTTTTCCAAAAATTTAAATACCAGCAGACCAAAATGCAGATACTATGGCAGACACTTATTTTGATGATGTTTTCCATGATGAAAATGGTTTATTGTGGATTCAACACTCTGTCTTACTTAAATCCCTCTAAGAAAAGTCAGGAGCACAAAATGAATTTAAAAAATGTCATAAATATTCCTGTGTGGTATAGATAATTCCTTGGTTTGCTGTTATTTGGTTAAGGAAATGGGATAGAAACAAAGGCGAAAAGACAGTGATGGAAGCAAGTGTAGTGAAAGGATGAAAGAAGGTAAACAGTTTTGAGGAACTTCAGGTGAGTAAATAGAAGGAAAAGAAGGAAGTGCATTGAAGTAAAGTCATCAAGGTGAAAACAGGGAAAAATTAGTTTAAAATACAGTGCCCTCAGAAAGAAATTTCAGTTGTTCTTCTATTTCTCCCTTCATAGTTCATCCTGCCTTCTTCATTTTGCCTGTCATTATAACTGTTTTAAATATTATTGTAGTCTTTCAATAATGAAATGATATTTAGTTTACATTTGTTTGCTCACTGAATCTTTTTTGCGCTCTGTGTCCTGGATTCAAAGACAACCTGTGCAATCTAATAGGTGATTGTGGTGTTATATTTTTTACCTTCTTTTCTGTTACAGAAACATCCAAGTTTGAATGCTCCATGATTAGTAAAGGAGCTTCAACTCTGGAATAGTCTGTATAGTGATTGTGAAAATATGGGAGTCCTGGTTTGACTGGGAACCTGAAAGCAAAACTTGACGTGGCACTGACAGATCTGAAGATTTGTGCTTAAAATTGACACTGTATTAAAATATGAATGGAAGTGCTTACAGATGTATGATCCTTTTATATTTATCTGTGAGGAAAGACATTTGATATTTCTCAGTGATGTGCGGTGACTACAAGTCATTTGTAAAGCAGAAGAATCCCCACATCAGAGGTTTTCGGTGATGTAGCTTTGCAGCTAAACTCAAAGGGAGTGCTGTGATAATAGGTGGAAACAGAAGAACACCAGATGTGAAGGTAGATATGGAAGCTTCAAATTAAGCCTCTTTCGCATGCATATGAAATACAGTCTTTTTCATGAACTCCAGCACCATCCAGTTAGACATTTTTGTTTGCACTAAAGGAAATGTCTTTCCTCTTGCAAAATAAATGTATCCATGACAAAGGTGTACCTTAGTGGTGTTATGCCAGTCTTGTCCCTTAGCTCAGGTAATGGTCTTTACTTCCTTGATCTGACAGCCGAAATACCCTTTCAGCTTCAATCTCCAGCCCCTGCAGGTTGACTTGAGGGGAAAATCCCTTGTAGCTCTTATTGATAATGAAACAGGTTTAAAAAAGTGAGCAATACTGATTATCTTCAGCAGAGGTCAGTGGTGCAATATGTTATGAAATTGGTTGTCCCAAAAGTACACTGAGTCCCAGCTTTACAAAGCTGCCTACCTAAACCTAGTGTCCTAATGCTCAGAAGCAATTGGCTTTCGGAGTGGTCAGATATAAACAGCCACAAATCCAGCACAACAGGTTTACTGATACAATCGTCCCTCTTTAGTTAACAGGGTTTTGGAAGGTTTCATAACCCCAAAATAGTGGAAATTTCTTGTGTGTTTTGTTCTTGGGACACATGTCTAAGTTTCCAGACTCTCAATGGACATGATACTTCCAATCTGCTTTTTCTTTGTTCATAAATTACAGTCTGCAAGATTCCATGATGCTTAGCATTAATTTATTTGCTGTTGTGAGGTTTTGATATTTCATCTCTTCTTACTGAATGTAAGCTAGGCTTTTGTACAGTTTAGATTTAGTTTTGTTCCTGATGGTATGCTGGGAATTAATGCCCAGTGGACCACTTCTTTCTGTGACAATGCCTGAGTTCTGGGCAGAATAGTTGTCAGGTGTTTCATCCAGATGTTTTGGAAAGACACCTATAAACAGAATGATTTTAGGAGAACTGTTCCCTTCTAGCCTAAGTTACAAATCTAAAGTTGAGTGTTACAAAGTCTTCCTCCTCTGCTCCTGGCTTTTTGAACCACATTTAATTTCTCAATTACTGTGAAGTCTTAAGTGAACAGCTTTAGATAAAATAAGCAACTACTTGCATAATGTATCCAAAAAAGTAATTAGAACAGTGGTTTATAGCCTGATTCTGAGATAAAATATATGGAGTTTGAAACAATGAAATATATGTCTTTTTCTGCTATTTTTATTGTACAAATTAAGTCAGTTTAGGTTTCATTGTAATTACTGCACCAAATACAGAAATAGTAGGTGAATCAGGTATGAGTTATATGTCAGTATTCAGATTTAAGTATAAAAAATTAGACCAGATCATGTCTTTGGTCTGAGCAAGGGATCAGAAAATGAAGGTCTTTATATTTCCTTGCAACCCTGAGAAATTGCAGTGGGCCGGAAGCTCAGCTCCATGCAGACAATTACACAAACTGCTCTGGGAGGCACTGTGGTGGGGCACTTACTTACTGTTATGCTGCTTCAGGATCCTTTTGGGCAATGTAAATCTTTTATACTTGCTAATCATAGCCAGAGCATCCAAGCTTCAGGACTCTAATAGGGAGTAATCTGTTTATATTGGTCATCAGAGAAAAATACAAGGTGCAAAATAACTAGTTCAGAACCCAGACTGCCTTCTGCACTTGGGCCATAAATTTGGGTTCATCTACCACTACTACATTTCCAAGATATTCCAATTAGCTGCAGCATGATAACAGTATAATACTTTGTAATTCTTAAGTTTATCCAAGTAGCAACTGAGTTTGTCCCACAAGTCTCTAACACTAGAGTTCACCAGCTAAAAAGCTAAAATAATAACTGTACTGCGAAGATTGAATTCGCTCTTGTGTTCAGTGTACGAGTGGTATAAAACAACAGTATAGCAGTGTTTTCTGCTAGAAAATATATTGTTCTTATCTAATGTTGTTCATCAGAAAGCATCTAAGCCCCTAACAGAAGATGCAGGTATTACTGTCTGTATTTTACAGGAAAATAAATTATTTTGTCAAAGTCAAGTAGCAAGCCTTTGGTATAAGTGGGACACATTTGTACATCTAACTCATCAGTACACCTTTCTGCCCTATACAATGTCCGGTAGGCTATGCCAGCCCTTCAAACTAGCTGTTAGAGTACAGCTACGACAATGACTGCAAGCACCACAGCCAGTGGTTTTAAGAGAAAAATCTAAATAAAATATATTATAGTAATAAAACAAATTAGCAGCTGTTATCCTGAGGCAACAGTAATGAAGCCCTCACAAAACAGGCTTTATTGAAAGTAGTAACAGTAATCATAAGTTCAAGTTTAACTAAGTGAGCAATTAAAAGTTGAATGCTGAAATGAACTGAACCAGATGACAAAGTAAAACATGCCTGGGGCAATGAACAGGTTTTACATTTTTTTAACTTCCATCTCTCTGGTGTCTGGCTCTAAAAAATGGTGTGACAAAAGACTCCTCACTACATTCTAGTCTGTATGCTAAAAAAAATTGGTAATAACAGGAGACTGTAGTACATACAGCCTATTCATCTCCCACAGTGCTGACATCACTACCCCTCTCTGTCTTTGTGCTTTGGTTTCCATTATTCAGAGAAAACCAGAGTGTCTCCACCCATAAGCAGGCATGGAGACTTTCATATAGGAAAGAGCTACCAGACCCCGTAAATCTATCACTCTTAACAGCGGATTCTTATGCTCAAATTTAGCAGCAAAATCAAACTGAAAATTTACTGTACCTTTTCTGATTTTCTTGCTTTAGGGGGAGTTCTGTTGATGTGAACTGCTGGGGGTGTGACACCCCTCTTCGAGCACTTCCAGGCAGATTTGGCTCCTCCTGGGCATTGTACAGGCTTATATCATTCAGAGAACTGCTCTAAGACATTCTCAGAAACTGTTACCCCCAAATCAGAATGGAAAAGAACACCAAATCAGGTAAAAGCCACTTTTTTGAAACTTCTCTAGACCTTCCTATAAAATTCATAGTTTAGCTTCCTTTAAGGCAAGATAGTAGTAATTTTGCAGTATAGTCATAGCAGGACTGTTGTTTTGTTCATATTTACTTCCTTGATTTTAATTCAAGAATGGGTTTTACTCCTATAAGCCTGTTTTGTTTCTGTGAAAATGCATTTTGTTGTGTACCAAAATATAAAGGAAAAACAGTGCCAGAGAAATAAAGGTAACTGTGGTTTTCATACAGCATTTGTAAAGCTACTTTACATGTTGTAAATAGCTATTTCCATCACCAGGCATACTAAAGAAAATTAACTAGAAAAAAAAGTCATAATGACATTCAAGGATTTACTGAAGGCAAAAAATTACATTTTATAAATCAAATTCCTTCAAAATGCTGACTTAGTTTCAAAATCATTTTCTCTACTTATCTACCGAGTTTTTCCTTGCTGTGCTAGAAATTATACAGTGAGCTTTATATGAGCTGTGAAAATGGATTTGTGATTTTTAAGCTGGCAAATCTAAACCAAAAGAGTAGTTACCATTTAAAAAAACCCAAAAACCCTACATCAACAGCTTCTGATGTTAAAAACAGCAATCAAAAGCTGACCAGTCAAAATCTGGTTATTACAAACATCGATACAAAATGGAGAATTTTAAAATTTCGTACTTCATTTATGAGTCAGTGAGATAGTTTCCTCTTGTGAAGAACTGCATGCTACTCTAAATGTAAATAACTTCTATAAAATGCATTTGTGCCTGGAATACAAAGAGCTGCGGAAGCAAAACCTGAAAAAAAATAAAAAGAACTGATTAGTTTATTAGGACAACTTCATAATATGAGCTGTTGTAGTCTATATAAGAGTGCAAGAAGTGCTGTAAGAACACTATATAAGAGTCCCAAGAACTGTAGTGTGTGATCCTGTGTAAATACTGGACACACTGTGAAAAAGAATTATGAAAAAGGGGCAGCTTAGCTATATGCCTCCTAGTCCCTTGCAAGGAATAAGGTAGAGGCCTTCCTGAATCTGATGTTGCATCCAGATTTTTTTGTTGAAGGGCTTCTACTAGACTTACCATTGCCTACTTGCTTTTTTTTTCAAACCACTGATATCTCTGATCTCCATGAAAACCTATGGCATCCAGTTTCACAATTTATATATATCAGTGTATAAAAAGAAGTACGGAAAAAAAGTAGAAGGAAAAAAAACCACCTTTCTCTTTGTTTTACACTTGCAATACGGTAATTTTGCAATAGTAGCCGGCAGAGACTAATCACAGTCGTTGCCGGTAGTGACTACCCATATAATATTCACTTTCTCCAAATCATTTTATAAACAGAATTAAATTTCCTATGTGGCTACATGAAAAAACTGAAGTAAAACCTGAAGAATCACACACCATACTGCAAAAAGAATCACATATCATGGCAGCTTGGGCAGAATAGCTTGTACTCCTTCTTCTTCTGCACATGCTCACCCTACCGTGGGTAAACTGGCTGTATTCACACGACACAATATTTTACTCTGGTTATTCTTTCATAGAATCATAGAATAATAGTTAGGGTTGGAAAGGACCTTAAGTTCATCTAGTTCCAACCCCCCTGTCATGGGCAGGGACACCTCACACTAAACCATGCCACCAAAGGCTCTGTCCAACCTGGCCTTGAACACCACCAGGGATGGGAGCATTCACAGTTTCCCTGGACAGCCAATTCCAGTGTCTCACAACCCTAATAAGAAAGAACTTCTTCCTTATATCCAGTCTAAACTTCCTTTGTTTCAGTTTTAACCCATAACCCCTTGTCCTATCACTACAGTCCCTAATGAAGAGTCCCTTCCCAGCATCCTAAAAGGCCCCCTTCAGATCCTAGAAGGCTGCTATGAGGTCTCCACGCAGCCTTCTCTTCTCCAGGATGAACAGCCCCAATTTTCTCAGCCTGTCTTCATGTAGGAGGCGCTCCAGTCCCCTGATCATCTTCGTGGCCCTCCTCTGCATTTTTTCCAAAAGATCCATGTTCTTTTTATGTTGAGGACACCAGAACTGCACACAATACTCCAAGTGAGGTCCAACGAGAGCAGAGGGGCAGGGTCACCTCTTTCGACCTGCTGGTCACACTCCTTTTGATGCAGCCCAGGATACGGTTGGCTTTCTGGGCTGCAAGCGCACACTGCTGGCTCATGTTCATTTTCTCATCAACCAACACCCTCAAGTCCTCTGCAGGGCTGCTCTGAATCTCTTCTCTGCCCAGCCTGTAGCTGTGCCTGGGATTGCTCTGACCCAGTTGCAGGACCTTGCACTTGGCATGGTTAAACTTCATGAGGTTGGCAACAGCCCACCTCACAAGCGTGTCGAGGTCCCTCTGGATGGCATTCCTTCCCTCCAGCGTATCAACCGAACCACACAGCTTGGTGTCATCAGCAAACTTGCTGAGGGAGCACTCAATCCCACTCTCCATGTCTGTGATGAAGATGTTGAGCAAGACCGGTTCCAACACTGATCCCTGAGGGGCATCACTCGTTACTGGTCTCCAGCTGGACATTGAGCCATTGACCACAACTCTTTGTGTGCCACCATCCAGCTAGTACTTTATCCATCAAGTGGTCCACCTATCAAACTGATGTCTCTCCAATTTAGAGACACAGATGTCATGTGGTGCAGCGTCACATGCTTTGCACAAGTCCAGGTAGATGACATCAACTGCTTCACCCCTACCCATAAATTCCATACCCCATCATAGAAGGCCACCCATTTGGTCAGGCAGGATTTCCCCTTTGTGAAGCCATGTAGGCTGTCACCAAGCACCTTGTTGATTTTCATGTGCCTTAGCATGCTTTCCAGGAGAATCTGCTTGAAGATTTTGCCAGGCACAGAGGTGAGACTTACGGGTCTGTAATTCCATGGGTCATCCATTTTCCCCTTCTTCAAAATGGGAGATATATTTCCCTTTTTCCAGTCTTCAGGAACTTTTTCTGACTGCCATGATTTTTCAAATATGATGGACCGTGGTTTAGCAACTTCATTTGTCAGCTCCTTCAGGACCCGTGGATGGATTTCATCAGGACCCATGGACTTGTGCACGTTCAGATTCTTAAGATGGTCTCAAACCAGATCCTCTCCTACAGTGGGCCCAAGGTCTTCATTCTCACAGTCCCTGCGTCTGCTTTCCAAGAATTGGGTTGTTTGGTCAGAGCCTTTGCCAGTGAAGATTGATACAAAGAAGTCATTCAGAACCTCAGCCTTCTCCAAATCCTGGGTAGCTAGTTCTCCTGATAGGGGTGGGCCTACTTTATCCGTAGTCTGCCTTTTATTCACTACGTACCTATAGAATCCCTTCCTGTTATCCTTAACATCCCTAGCCAAGTTTAATTCTGACAGGGCCTTAACTTCCCTAATCTGGTTCCCTAGCTTCCCAGACAACATCCCTGTATTCTTCCCAGGCTGCCTGTCTTTGCTTCCACCTTTTACAAGCCTCTTTTTTCCTTCGAGTTTTCCTCCGCAGCTCCTTATCCATCCAAGGATGTCTGCTGCCCCTCCTGCTGCATGTCCTTCTAGTTGGGATGTAGCACTCCTGAGCTTGTAAAAGGCTCCTTATGTTGCCCCTGTGATTTTAAGAAAAAATTATTTTTGTGCGTATGATATAAAAGTGTAAAAATCTTGAGATAGTGGCAGAGTGCATTGGAAGAGGATGAATACAGCTATATGAGGTGCAAACTGCTACCTCATGAAAGCAGTTTCTGGAGTGAACTATTATTGAGAACTTTGGCTGGGGTTTTTTTGTTTGCTTGTTTGGTGTATTTTTGTTTAGTTGTTTTTTTTTTGTTTTTTTTTTAATAAGAGCAAACTAAAACGTTCTTCAAACAAAAAAGGAGGTTGGGAACGGAATAGTGTTTGTGCTCAATGGACACAGTAGGGAATTAGTCCTGATAGTCCACTGGAGAGCCATCATTTGCCAATGCAGTTGTACTCACAAGGAATATTTCATTGTTTTTTCCATTCATGGGGAAACCATAGAAACTTCTAACATTTCAAGTTACTCAAGACTATATCAGTCTGAAAATACCCTACACAACAAAGCCTGAGCTAAGAACATCTTTCTATGCCCCTCACAAGGGATGCTTTTTGCCCTAAATTCAGGCAAAAAACCCAAGAAAGCATCAGTCTGCAAAGTTTGATGTCTTCTGTGCTCAGAAAAATCAGTGTTGTCCTACTGCAAATTTCACTGCAGGAAAATGATTCCTGATTTTAAGTTTTTCCTTCTCAGGGAAAGTCCATTGTATTACTGCTGAAAATGACCCTTAAGCTGGAAGAGGAGATCTCATTCAATTCCACTATGCGCATCATCAAAAATTGCCAATCTCTGAATATGGGTTGATTTTTTTTTTAATTTTTTTTTTAGCATTATTCATGGCAAGCAAAGGCAAGATACTGAAGTCATGACCTTTGTAATGGTAATGCATGTGAACACCCACCATGTGTACATGGCAAAGTTGTAGAGCTGGAAGCACTTTTCATCTGTGTACTTCATTCAGCAAATATTTGAACTGTATAATATTTTCCTGAGCATATAATTTGTGCACATTTGAAACTACAGGGAAATATAATTAAAAAATTGATACAGCAAGTCCTGCTTTTGATATGTGCCTACAACATTTTTAAATATAGGTTTAAGTATTTAGGCAAGAAGTGATTATAAGTGAGATAGCCATCAGGTGCAAGTCGCATGTTGATAAGGCTAATGCAATTTTGACCTTTGTCATTTACTGAAATTATACTTGCTTTTTAATTGCTCTGAACAGACATTTCTATTTAGTCTTACTTGGTTTTAGGAAACTCTATGTGACCCTGATTATACCAGTAGAAAGGTGGTGAATGTGTGTGCCAGTATTTAAAATTTTATAATAAAATGTATTTAACACACATGTTTTAAGAACAGACATTGTCAAAATAGATTTGATTAATAGATCTTCTAGCATGTCGG